GGGACTACAAGCCGGATGTGAACATCGTGATTAGGACGGGTTCAGAATGGGCGGCGCGGGAGGCGCGGCAGTAGCTCGTCCTGTTCAGGGACTACAAGCCGGACGTAAATATCGTGTGTTAGGACGGGTTCAGAATGGGAGCAGCAGGAGGCGTGGCAGTAGCGCGTCCTGGTCAGGGACTACAAGCCGGATGTGAACATCGTGTATTAGGACGGGTTCAGAATGGGAGCAGCAGGAGGCGCGGCAGCAGCGCGTCCTGGCCAGGGACTACAAGCCGGATGTGAACATCGTCCACCCTCAAGGCTGTTTTCAAGGGCCGGAATATCAAAGCGGTGTGGGATGACGGGTATCAGCAACTGTCCTTTTATGATGCTAGGAAGGACCTCGATGCAGCTATACTCGACAGTCTCATCGGTCGTATGCTCCGTAACACCAGCATCCTTTGCATTGAACGCGTTGCTAGAGGACAGTGGAGGCAGAACTATGTGGAGGTAATATCCTTGCCGAACTTTCGTGTCTTCAATAGATTTTAACTCCTGCACTTGGAGCTGGGAGATAAGCTGAGGACTGTCTCAAAGGACATCTTCGAATTGTCTGGCTCGACCTGGTCAAGAAATACAGGCCGGACATGAACATTGCATACTGCGATAAATCCCGGCGGGATGCTGATGCCCAAGGGGGCGTCGAAGGCGCTGTCGCACAAGTTTAACGGGAAGTCGCTGGGCAAGATGAAGATGGAGAGCCGGCCATAGAATATTGCAGAGGAGAAGCGGAAGGCTATGGCGAGCGTGGATACGCCGTTGAGCATGAATAAGGCGTTTCAGATGGGGCAGGGCATTTCATCCTACTGCAGTATCTAACTGATGGGGAACCGGTCTTAGACGACGGAGGCTGAATGAAGGGGAATACGGATTGGTTGTGTCACAAATGGTACACCTATCGAGACAGAACTAGAGGACGTTAGACGAAGGAGAGGCGGGCGCTTGTTCCAACCACTTACCCTACAGATTCTGATGCCCAAGTAACTACGCTGTGTGACGAAGCCAGCTTCGCTCTTCTGGCCCATTTTTGCTTGATAAAGCGCGTACTCCATTGTTCAGTCACCGTAGATAGCTGGGCCTTCCGATATACTTTCAGTACGTGCTATGTTCACAACGTAAGGCAAGACGTAAGGAGAACTCACGGTACAATATACCTGAACGTAAGAAAACATGACCTTAAAGTCGACGAAAATCTAAGGCAAGGCAAGAGGTAGCACAAAGTGAGAGCATATCGTGAAAGAGAACAATCAAGATGAAGACTTACCTGACGGCAATGCGGAACAGAGGGTAGATATGCGGGCTCCGCGCCATAGAGACTGTAGTGCCTAGGACGTGCAGTAGCGTATAACGCACAGCCGATCGAGGTTCGGCAGCCAAAGTCGTAGGAGGGGTGTAGCATGTAGCCTGGCCCTCGCGCGGGGATAACACCAGGGAGGGAGGAGGTAGGTGAGGCCAACGGCCATGACACGAAGTCTGGCCGTCGATGGGTCAGCGGTGGCTCGAAGCCACTCGCCGAGTGCTACAGGCACGGAGCCTGGTCGCACAAGTGGCGGGCACGGAGCCCGACCACAGGGTAGGTGGGACTTGAGGCCGAGGCCGGGGTCTCGAAGTTTGAGGCCTTGAGGATCGATGGGGTCTTGAGGCCCTGTCGTAGCGGCTTGACGATTGCTGGTGTCGTTTGTACCTAGAAAACATCGTTGGTTAGTACGTGGCGGAGCGAGAGGTAACGGAGGGTAATGGGAGACGCCGTAAGGCCACAGAAGGAAGCGTACGGGCGCCTGTAATTCCAGAGGAGCTTGAAAGTTGTCGGGCTAGGGGTTATGTTTGAATTACCGGGTGGCCGGCGCGGGGTTGACAGAACGTGTCACGCGTATCGGACATTGAAAAACGGAAGCAAATCTGTGGCAAGGATTGAAGCAGAGATGCTGAGATTGAACCTTGATTTTCGTTTGGTGCTTTGCTCTTGTTTGTCGTCGACCCTGTTCCTCCTTTCCCCATCACCCAGGATCGTCGTAGCAAGGCATCTCATCAGTATCGGTAAGTCGTGTTTTCAGTCTCGTATGTTTCATTCTTTCGTCCTTTCCCTAGCCCGCGCCCGCGACCTCTCGATCTCCACCTTCCCATCTCTAGCGGTCGGGCTCCGTGCCCGCCACTTGTGCGACCAGGCTCCGTGCCTGTAGCACTCGGCGAGTGGCTTCGAGCCACCGCTGACCCATCGACGGCCAGACTTCGTGTCATGGCCGTTGGCATTGCCTACCTCCTCCCCCCTCCCGTGGTATCCCTATGTGAGGGTCGGGCTACGCGCTGCGCCCCTCCTGCGACCTGGCTTCGCGCTACCGCAGCAGCGAACCAGCCCTTGGCCTTCGTTGATCGTCTGCGAGCGGACTCTGGCTGCCGCACGGTTGTGCGTTATACGCCACGGCACGCCCTAGGCAGCGGAGCACCCTTGCTCCTTTATCTTTCTCTCTGGTTGTTCGTGGCGCGCCGCTAACTTTTTTTTTTTTTTTTTTCTCATTATCGTCGTTTTTTCCTTCGTTCTTTTACCCTGTTTTCCTGCTGCTCCTTCACGCTCTCGCCGTCGACATCTCCTTCTCGCTTTTTCTGTTGCTTTATTCCACGGCTTCCCAATCCCTTTCACTTCTCAACGTTACCCTTCGTCGCTGGTTCGTCTGACTAAGTCCATGGAATTTTCGCTTCCAAGTGATTTCAAGACCGTCGCCCCCTTCAATAAATCCGGGTGGAAACCATCTAGTCACCGTCGTCCACCTGAAGGTAAGATTGTATCACCAATACGCACGTAAAATCACTTGCTAATGTTTTTACAGGAAGATGCTGGCAACCTTACGATGCTCGCGTCCTAGGCATCACCCGTCAAAACGTGCTAATCACTTCACCCAATGCTTCCTATATTCCTCCCTATCGACCCAACCCCGACCCTCTTCGTGCAAGAGCTGACGGTAACTTCGGCCTGGATGACCCCTTCCTCCTTCCCACTATGCACTGCGTCGATCTCCCTTGGGCTGCCCTCTACCCCAGTCGTGCCTACTGGGACGGGTTTGAATTGACGGGGCTATGGTGGACGCCCACTGAAGATGACATCGAAGCTGTCCCTCGCAACGGTGTCAAAGTGGGACCGTTGAAAGCCACATCTATGGCACGACTCGAGGAGCTCTTCCGCGGCACTATGCGCGACAAGCGTGATAGACTTCGAGCTCGGCTGCTTTCCCTGACTGGTCCCGACGCACCGCGGAACAAGCAGTGGGTTGATGGTGTCTGGGGTCGGCTGGAAGCGACCTTGGATAACTTACGGTTCACATCTGGCGACCTGAGCGATAGAATACGTCGCCTGGGTGACTTTCGACGCGGGTGCATGGACTTGTGGGCCTACGCCGAGTACCGTCTGCGCGTGGCTTCTGCAGGACGATTGGGCAATGGCCCCTGTGAAGGCGCGGAGATCATAGATGGGATCATACGTGCCTCCCCGCGCTACGTAGGTGCATATACCACTCATCCAAATGTCCTCAGAGGCCTGTACGAGGCTGGCGTCCCTGTTTGGTTCCCGCGTTCGCCTGACTCCCTCACCCCGGAAACCCATCAACTCCAATTGGTCGAGATCGATTCAGCCGACTGGATCGTGGAGGATCCTCCCTCAATCCAAGGTGAAAGGACCCCCTTCCCCCTCATCGTCGACTGGCCATTGCACCCCTGCAGACTATGGATGGCCCGCTATGGCTATGGCTTCTCTTCGGAACACAGTACCATCCCTTTCGACGGCCGGGTCCCATGCCCGGAAACGCGCAGTAACGGAACTCAGGCCGGGCCCTCTCGCTTTGTCCATCCAGGTCGACAGACGAGGAAGCCTTGTAAGTCATTCTACAGTTTTTTCCTGTTCGGACGGATCTCATGGTAGCCAACTTATTTTCTAGATGATCGTGCCTCAAAAAGCAAGGGCAATGACAGGAATAAGAAGGCGACACCTGCTGAGAACAGGGCCAAAGCGTTCAAGGTCGAGGATATCGACAGCCCAGCCTTCTCAGGCATGTTTACTCTCTGGGAACGCGCCCTGAACGCAGCCAAGAGAAGCACCCTTCCTCCTGACACGCTGCGAGAAGGTATGGACGGTTATCGGTTCCCCAATCCGGCCTGGTTCGTCGGCACTGCTCTCAAGGAGAAGTACTTGAAGAACTGGCTCATCATGCGGCCGCTGTGGATCGAGTACATCCACCAAGCGATGTTCAACCCGTCTCTCGATGCCATCGGCACTGGGAGTGTTCATGTTCTCCCGGGTGCGCAGGGCACCTCTCACGCACAGACGGTGGCACCTGCTGCTCTGCCGAATGTGCTGGCGGTCCCCAACTCGCAAGGGTGGAGAGATATGCTCGGAGGGCAGCTTTTCAGGTTCGACCCCGACCGTGCTCACACAGTTACGTCGGTTCAATGTGTCGCAGCGTTAGCTTGTTTCGCCCCTGTCTGGAAACGACTGCAAGCCCTCCTTGCCGCTGCTGAGGCTTCGGGCGCGGTTCATTTCCGGGGTATACGCCTTCCGTTGAACGTTCTGGACAAAGAACTTGTCCTGAAGTGGGTTATATGGGATCTGCACGACATCAGCTTGGCCCCCGACTTTGTCGGCCTCGATAGGGCCATGGTCCCTGAAGCCTGGGCTTCCGGGTATGAAGCCCGCAAGCAGGCCTGTATCGCAGCATTCCCCTACACGCTTCCCGTGGTTAACGCAGAGCCGGATACCGAGTATTCTCACTGGGGGGCCCCTCGACACGGTCAAGAGCTCATCACGGAAAACCTTCGCGCGCTCGTGTCTCGATGGCCGTGTGCATCGTCCAAGCTGGGAATTCCGTTGAACCACGACGAGCTCACTGGTCGTTCGCCGCATGGAGTCGCCCAACTCGACTCTGAAATGACAGAGCTCTATGCAGTATGGTTCCGAAAGAGGTACAATCGCGCGCCCATCCTACCTCACGTCAAGCCAAACGACCGTTGGATTTCCGAGCTCGGTCAAGCGGCCCCGCAGTCTACGCAGACCACTGAGGCTGACACTGATCAGCTCATGGCGGATGCGATCGACGCAGAAGCTCCCGTCTATCAATCTGCCATGGGTCCGGAGCACCCAGCGGAGCATGTCGTGGACGTGGACCATCGGCCCACTGCGGGCCCAGAGCTCGCAGTAGACCTCGTTGTCGAGCACGCCCCCGAGAACAACGCTGAGCATGCTACGGGGCACGCTATCGACGTCGACCACCAGCCTGCCGCGGGTCTGGAGCACGAAGGGGAGCACGCTGTCGATGAGTCGGATGGAGAGACAGAAGTGTCTCTTGAATAGGGGTGTATCCGTCTTTCATTACGCAATGTATCGCATCTCGGTCTGTTCGCCGTATCGCCTGGACTTCTTTTCATTTTTCTTCTCTTTCGTTTCATCGCATTTTTTCGCCTTTTTTCAACATCGTTTCTTACAACTCTTACTAATGTCCACGAACTCATGATAAAATAACATGTGTTGCCTTGATTTGCTGAACTGATCTAGATCATCTTGCCTCCACAATGTCCCTACGTAAGAAGAACGCGCAGACATCGCAACCTTGCTCACAAGAAGCTGATACTGGTGAATCCGACCGATTAGTTCCTGTACAAACTAGAGGTGGGACGCGGAAGAGCAGTAAGCGGTTGGGAGTTTTATTACACGCGCCTGGTATGTTCATCGCAATGTCAGTTTTTCTCATTTGACTCTCGTATAGGACGCCGAACCTACCGTAAGCTTCCAGCTGAGAAAACCAAGCCAACGAAGGCAACTTCCTCGATAGCGCAACGAACGGGTAGTTCCTCAGTTGACCAAGGAGCACAAGCGCACATATCACTGGCGTCTCAGAACGAGGAACAGGCACCGAATGTACCTAACTCCTCCACGATCTCTTTGAACATTGCCACTAGTTCCTTGTCGTCGCAGTTGCTTCACGCTGATCTTCCGCCTCCTTCACCTCAAGACCTACCATCAATTCACGATTTGCCTTCGCCTCACGACTTTCCCTCATCTCACGACCTTTACTCGCCTCACGACATTTCCTTATCTCACGACTTTCCCTCAGCACAACACGATGAGGACGACATCTTTAACGCCGCTGCCTCGCCTCCCTCACCTGGCCTCGATAATAGGTATTTCTCTTCAGACGCCCTGCAGTCTACGGGGAACTACGGCATATTTTCGTCCGATGTACCCCGAAGGCGACGGCGCTACAAGTCCTCGCGACAAAAGCGAGCTAATCAGTGGCGTACATGGTCCGATCAAGTATTACCGCATCTAGTGGTCCCCTACCTGACGTTCGTCAAGGATTCCAAACAGTTTCGCAGGTCGGCTGACCTCTCGAAGCTAACGGCTTCCCGCCGTTGTTCGCAAGATTGTGATGGCCGACGGCGACGAGTAACTTTAACTTGTGTCTTCTTTGACAGTAAGTCCTTTCATCGTCTGCTAGCCAACTACGATACACTAATCTGATTATTATTAAGGGCTAGAAGAAGCTTCCTTTGAAGCCTGCACCTGCTCTCCGGTTTCGGTTCAGCTTGTTACCGCGGGATTATTCCCCTGTGCCCCTATAGACCCGTCGCTCGCTGTGGACATGCGCCTCCTGCAATTTGTCAACATGCTCTCGTTGCGTACTCCACCAAATGTATCCGCGTGGTCTGATACGCTCGAGACGTTGCTTCTAGCCATGGGATACAAGTTTCACGGTTCGGTGAGTATCTCATGGAAATATAGGTTCATTCAAGCTAAACAGTCATTAGAATAACCTCCGCAAACGGTTTCAACGTTCGTTTCATTGGTATCGAGTTTTATTGAAGCAGAGTGAAAAGTATTTGCACGATCAAGCAAACCGGTATCTCACCGCTGGGCCCGGTGAACAACCTAGTGTTTATTTGCGAGAGAGGTGCCCACTATGCTTTGGAGGAAACGACTGGAAGCGCGGACGGGGCATGAATACGAGGTACGGCAGATCGTTTCATATCATACCGGGTAACTAACCGTCGATTAGTGCGGATGTCATTGTATGTATTGATGCGTGCTTTACACAAAAGCGAACGAATGTGCACCGGAAGGGCGACGATCGCGACCCTCCAAATCCATGTCAATCCGTTTTTCTGTCTGAAGACCGTGTCCATGACGCAGAGCGTCTCGTTGAGAAGAAGCGGCAGCGTCGAGCCCCCAAAAGACGAGCGGAGGCAGCAGAGCAGGAAGACGTCGTAGAAGAAGGGATGCGTATTCCAGCCTCAGTGCTGGATGGTTGTAATGATAGCTTTGTTGCCGCAGACGAGAAGAGGCAAAAAGCGAGCACGAAGTTTTTCTCTGACACGGGGCTCATGGCCCTCATGTGTCGCCACGACCGTGTCCTGTGGCTAGCAAATATGACTTCGGCTGGAGAAAAGCAACACTACGCCCTAGCCCTCATCATCGAGCTCTTCAAGCACTTACCAGCCGATATGAGGGTTGGTATACTATACGACATCGGCTGTCAGCTGGAACGAAGTTGTCGTATTTTCAATTTCATTCCTGATCTCCTCCCGCGAATCTCCTTTGCCATCTCCGTTTTCCATGCATACGGTCACCAGTGGGCATGTCAAATTATCTATCACCCACGTAAACGCCAAGGATTTGGCTTTTCCGACGGCGAAGGCTGTGAGCGGCTATGGAGTGCGCTCAAAATGCTCATTTCATCCTTACGAGTATCCGGGGTGCGAATATGTGGACTTACTACAGTCGGGTCTTTAGCTAATTTCTCTACAGTTTCACCAGCGCCTTTTTGTTCTAGATCTTCAGGTCGATTATCTGGATATCAGGCTTCTCGAGGGATATGGGCTATGGCTTCAACGTCGATGGAAATCTACTCAACAGCGGCGGGTAGAAGCATCAAACGGACTGAAACGCTTGTCCTTTACCGACGCAGAGCTGCGAGCTCAGTGGGGCGCCCAAGTTGCAGCTCAAACACGTCCCTTGCCAAGTAGCCCTCGGCTTTCGTATCTTGTATCCTCAGCTTACGGTGTTTACAGGACAGTCATCAAGACGGACTGGAGAGGACCTGATGCGAATTCTCGAGCTGGAGAAAAGCTACGAGAAGGCCCGAGATGATCTTTCATCATTGGAGGACCGGCTTGCCTCTCAGCCTGGTGAACGGCTAATTGATAGTGCATATGACCTCGAGCAAGCTCAGACACGTTTCAAACGCCTCGAGCAAGCACTCCAGAAACAAAAGCAAGCGATGGGTTTTCAAAGCAGACAAAAGCTAAGTGAACTACGGCGCAACCAGTACATATATGCGCGGCTCAAAGCTTTGGCCCTCAAGACTAGGATTCGCGACAAACTCCGTCACCGTAAATTCGAGCTTTCCAAGCTGGAGCGAGCATATCGTCAGACTATGAATGGTGTGTTTGCTAATTTCTTCGGTGAAACCGGCCTACTGATCCATCGTAACTATACAGAGCAACGATTGCATGACCACGCTGCTCAGTCGATCAAACGAAAGGAGCCTACCATCAGCCAACTTGTCAAGCGATATAATGACTTGGTGACGAAACTGAAGAAGATGAAGGAGGAAGATCGATCACTCATTCATGTTGTCCTCCCGCACTTCATCAAACCTGACGGTATTTTCGAACTCGACGTCGATGATGACATTTGGGAGGATGTCGGCCTTCACGAAGATGAGCCAAATCCCCCAGCGTGGCTCGCTGACAACAATGTTCGCGAAGGTATACGGCATCTCCTCGCATACGACCGTAGCACGGAGGAGATATCAAGGTTATCGCATGAACGTACACGTTTACAAGAATGGAGCCTGGCCTCATGGTTGGCCTGGTCGAAAGTCGCTGCCACCTCTGGTATGGAATTTTACATGAACAGGACACACAAGTATGGGCTAATGTGTGCTACAGACAACGTGCTGAGGTTTCATGCAGAGCTACATCTCGACAAGTTGGCATTGACAATTGCCCAGTGGTTACAACAAACATTCGCCATACCTCCCGCATGGATAGTAGACCAATCGTGGGGACCATCTAATGAGCGAATGTTCCTGGCACGCGAGAAAGCGCTGGCATCTTCTATGCAGCTATCCAATGGGGCCGAGGATGATAGTGAGGTAGACAACAACTCAGCTTCGGAAGCTGACAATGTCATGGATGAATTGGTTGCGGATGCCGAAGATATGGCGCTGGTAGATGAGTATCATCGTGGTGACCAAGAGAGTAGTTTAGGTGATTCGGACAGTGAGTCATCAGTGTTAGCTTACAATGTTACACCTTCCAAGAAGGCTCGCTCGAAATAATCTACACTTTGCCAGGCACGCCGCCGGATAATGCTGATTCCGCAGAAGTCATCTACGATGTGTCTCTACGGAGAAGTGATACGGATTCTTTCGACAATATCTCCCTCGTTTCTGACGAACAGGGTCAGTTTACCATTATAACCCCATCAATGAAATGTTCGGCTGCATGCACTATGACATCGTCGCCTACCTCCTGCGCAACCTATGCAGCGGCGACATTCAACTCAGTAATGCAGCTCAAGTCCCCCGAGTTTGGCGAGTATAGCCCATAACGAGAGCCAGACTCGACAGCATCGCGATCAACTTGCGGTCCCCCGCGGACCACCTGAATATGTGCCTGCCAACCCTCGCTCTCTAAACCACACAAACGTATATCGACATACATCGTGGCTGGCTCGTCGGCGACCGCACTGGATTGCGCATGTAGCGCGGTGACGCTGTCATAGCTCTCCGCGCTGTGCCATCCCACCCACACTGCTGCTAGCGCACATCTGTGAGGTTTCGCTCGTTGCCGCGACGGGGAGTGGCTTGATGAGGATCACCTACGCTCGCGAAGTGGACGCACCGCACTGCAAGATTGACAGCACATACGCATCGGAGCGTGCTGCTTGGCGTGGCAGTGATGTGTACCTCACATACAACAATGCTGAGTTTAGTGGAGTCATCGACTTCTTTGCGAAGTCCTATTCGACGGACGGGCTGCAATGGACATCCAGGTCTGAGGCTGAGAGTCGGCTGGGCGAGTTGCTGCAGTGCTCTGGGAGCAAGGATGATAATGGTACGGTGTTGGCTTTGTCGCCCGGTGGGTGGGTTGGGTTGTATATGTGATATTGTGGAAGCGACTTGTCGCCTTCGTGATTTGAACCAGGGACTGTACCATATGAATGATATTACGTGTGCTGCCATCATAACAGCACGTCAGGTTGTAAAGGTTGATTTTGGATATTCAATAAAAACTTGTTAAATTAGCATTACTAAATCAGGTTCTTAATGTGTGGTTTAAACTGTGAAATAGGCAGGGTATATTATTTACTATGTAGTTCCTATTGAAAATATCACAGTCATTGTGAAGATAAATCAAAATGAGCAATTAAATTACCCCTCAGTCATTTTGCTGTATTGGTAACATATAGTACATGTGCCTTGACTCGTGGTTTACAAGCCTATTCAACTCATGGGCCATATGTGTGTGGTGACACTCGGCCCAAGGGCAACTTGTTGTGATGAGGTTTAGTGCCCGTGGACCAAACTAACTTGGGATTATTTAGTCCATGGATCAAGCAGTGGGGTGGGTATTTGGCCCATGGGCGGCATTGTGCCCGGGCAGAATTGTATCCATGGGCCAAATGAACTGCTGCTTCTCTGCCCATGGACTAAGTAGCATCACAGGGAATTTGTCCATGGACAGAGCATTTACATGTTGATTATGTCCATGGGCAAAGTGTTGTTCAATCGGGTCCTGTCCATGGGCACATTCGAGAGATGTTAGCTTTGTCCATGGACTAATGGAGGTCCTGTGGTTTGTATCCATGGGCGAACCAGGGATGTGGGAGCTGTGCCCATGGGCACATGTCAGGTCTTCTTGTGTCTGCCCATGGGCTGCTTTGAGACACCTGAATGCATCCATGGATACTACTTTCTGTGTGTGACTTTGACCCATGGATCATTATTTTACACATGCATGTGCAGCTGGAGGGCTAAGTATGCAGAATATAGTAACACATAGCACAAAAGAGATTGTACCAGCACAAGGAGCATATTGGCATGGAGAGCGTCCTTGGAAGGCCGTTATTGTCAATACCCAGGTTGTTGAAGGTGCCAATGAGTGGGGACTTTAATTTGACTACTCAACAAAAGGTCATATATGGAGCAAGAACAGGGAGCATACCAGCATGAGGAGCATACAGGCATGGAGAGCGTACAAGCATGGAGAGTGTACTGGCATGGAGAGCGTACAAGCACGGAGGGCGTACTAGCATGGGAAGCATTGGAGCATGGAGAGCGTACAAGCATGGAGAGCGTACCAGCATGGAGAGCGTACAAGCAGTGAGAGCGTACAAGCAGTGAGAGCATACAAGCAGTGAGAGCATTGGAGCACGGGGAGTGTACAAGCATGGAGAGTGTACAAGCATGCAAAGTGTACCAGCAGGGAGAGCATAGCAGCACAGGGAGCATACAAGCACAGAAAGTGTACAAGCATGGACAGCATCGGAGCACA